TAATATAATAATACTTAATTATATTTAATTATATTTAATTTAATATAACAAATATATAAGAAACATATAGTTGAAATCTTGTGGAATAATTGAAGAACGAATAATTTCAAATTTAAATTTACAAGCCGGTAAACTTAAAAACTTTAATAAAATTAAGAAACTTTTGTTCGAGCTTTTCACATATATATCTAGTAATACATAAGACATAATCACATGTTAATGCTTAAACTAAATAAACTGTATGACGATGTCGAATTAATCTTTTACCTCTTCGCGCATAGATTCTGGCATCCATCAGCACGAATTTAAAACAAGCCTTGCTCACGGCATTGATCGGTACGACTCCACAGCAGAAGGAGCTTGCCGAACAAGCGGCGAATGTAGTTGCCGCTGATAACATGGAACTTGCCTGCGCATTCGTACAAAAGACTGCTATCGAGAAAGCGATACCCGAGATGGACAAGCGGCTACTGAGCGAGATGGAATTGCGAAAAATTGCTCGGCAAGAAGGCCGACGATACTGCGATCCTCTCGCCAAGTATCAAGCCGAGAGGATGCCGGAGCAGATCCGATTGAAAGTCGGTGGCGTGACGCCACAACAGATGGCCGTTTATGAAGAATTTGCCAGAAATATTCCAGGATTCCTACCACTCTCCGAACGGGATACACAAGTACTCTTCATGCCGAAACCTATCAATGTAAGAACTATCCATGTTTTTTACGTGTTTTGTAAAACAAAAACAAAAAAAAACATGTAACCGAAAGATTTGTGAGATGAAGTCTCTCGCTCCTGTGAATTTTTTCTCATTTCTTTCTTTCTTTTAACTTCACATTTTGAAGGAGACTCCCGTCACCACGTTCACACCTAATTCGGCCGTGGCAGTCGCTACGGCGCAACAAGTAGCGGCTTACGCGGCGGCTGTTAGCAATGACGAGGTGGGCGCTATGCTGGAAAAACTAGCCGCGGAAGCGGAAGTTCTGTTGGCTGCTGCGGGACCTGCGGCGCCTCCGACGCAGCATGCTACCTTTCATAATCTTCTGGAAACGATCATTCTGACCAGAAGATCAAGAGACGCCGGTGCCGCTATGACATTATTAAAGAAAGTTAGTTTACTTGATACACACGCATAAACTTATGATATTCAATCGGTCAAGTCGTGGCGTAAGACGAGACTCATTGGCGACTTGTGGCTGTTCTAGGCTGTCGAAGGTTTGGTGGATGGGCTAATTCTTAGTAGCAATGTCATCGATTCGGAGAATCTTGTACAACGCTACCGAGAACTGCACTTGCGGATCTTGAAATGTCTTCAGGATCCACGTGCGTACGGTATGCAATGGACCAATAAGCACGTGACTCGTTGTCTAACCGAGTACAGAGAAGAATTTCGATATAATTTTGAAGCCGTGGATTATCTCATAAGGTATGGTCTCAAATTACACTCATATGATATTTGAAAGATATTCAGGAAAGACTCTAATTAATTATGGACTCTATTACTTTGCAGGTCTCATTTGATCAGTCTTCCACAATTCGATGTAGCTCTAGCGCAAGCTATGGAGGCAGGAAGCGCCATGGCAACAGCATTCGCCATGCAATTGGTTCAGCTTTATTTGATTGATGAAAGACAAGCGACTCATGTTACCGAGACTGATTTATTTCATACAATTGAAATATTGGCTCGAATGGCACATCACAGAACACCACCGGAAGGGTATTGCTATAAACATTAGCTTTCAAAAAATAGAACATTTGATAGCTATATAAAATGATAGACTTTGTTTTCGTTTAAACCAGACTTATCTATGTTCTTTTTTAGTATAGATATCAATCTTTCTTTGACATATCACATTTTTTTCCTTCTTATTCCCCTTTATTCTCTTTTATATTTGCTTTAATTATTTTCTTTATTATCAAAGATAGGATATTTTAAGTGAACAAAGTGCTCATTCACACGCGTGCATCTTTAGCCCATTACCCTTTCGGATAGCATTTACAAACGCTATCTCAAAAAAAAAAAATTCGGTCCTATATTCTTGATATTACATTCCAAAATATTTTTTCAATTGTGCTAAATTATAATACTAAATTAGAAACAGAGTTATAACACTGTGTTTGCATTTTGTATTCAAACATGCATAAAATTTATATCATTTCAGAATCTTACTCTTTAGATTAACGAGTCTAGTAGATTCACTGCGTGCCAATCACGATTCTGGTGTACTGGTGGACAGAGCTCCAGCAGGACCTACGGCACACATTCATTCTGGAATCCTGCAGGTGAGAGTAAGTAGATTGCCCAGATTATTCAATCCAAATGAATTATTCCAACAGTGATATTTCGTACTTTGCGTTAACGAAATTATCGGTGTCTTATTTATTAAAAAACATCACGTGTAATGACGTATAATGACGTAACAAGCTAAATAAACGTTTGCATGAATACTGCAGCTTCCGATTATTCGAAATATATAGAATTTGTCTTTATAATCTAGTCTTTAGCAACAATATAATGTTTTTTTCATGATTTATGAGAGACCGATAATCATTATTAACGAAGATTACAGAATATCTCCATCTTTATCTTTTTCGATGCATCGTATTTACGATCATGATTAATGTATGTCGTACGTTCGCGATTGTCTTACAGGCTCGCGATTTTGATGATCCACCGGGACTAATGGAAAAGACGGAGTATCTGTTGCGCGAATGGGTGCAGATGCATCACAGTCCGCAGCACGCACGTGATCCTACCAAAGCGTTCAGCATATTTGTGCATCAGATGAACATACACGGAATCCTCAAGACCGACGACCTAATTACGAGATTTTTCAAGCTAAGCACTCAGATGTGTGTCGATCTCTGCTATCGCGCTCTCTCGGAAACCGCGACAGCTCCCTCGATCATGCGTGCGAAGTGCTTTCATTCGTTGGACGCGTTTGTACGTTTGGTAGCACTCTTAGTGAAGCATTCGGGCGACGCCACCAACACCCACACCAAGATCAATCTCTTGAACAAAGTGCTCGGTATCGTTGCCGGAGTGCTGCTGCAAGATCACGAGATACGCGGTACCGATTTCCAGCAATTGCCGTATCACAGAATCTTCATCATGCTCTTCCTAGAGCTGTGCGCGCCGGAACCGGTACTGGAGGCTGTCAACTTTCAAGTATTGACGGCCTTCTGTCACACCTTGCATATTCTACGTCCGGCGAAGGCATCCGGCTTCTGTTACGCCTGGCTGGAGTTGGTCTCGCATCGAGTTTTCATAGGACGTATGCTCGCCATTACACCGCAGCAAAAATGCTGGGGTATGTATGCGCAACTTCTCATTGATTTATTCAAGTACCTCGCGCCCTATCTTCGTAATGCGGAACTCGCGAAGCCCGTGACAAGCCTTTATAAGGGCACACTGCGGGTGTTGCTGGTACTGTTGCACGACTTCCCCGAATTTCTCTGCGACTATCACTACGGATTTTGCGACGTGATACCACCAAACTGCATACAAATGAGGAATCTGATATTGAGTGCTTTCCCAAGAAACATGCGGCTGCCCGATCCGTTTACGCCGAATCTAAAGGTCGACATGCTTCAAGAAATAGCGCACGCCCCGCGTGTTCTCACCAATTTCGCGTCCACGATACAGCCGTTGACCTTCAAGAAAGAACTCGACTCTTATTTAAAAGCTCGCGCGCCGGTCACCTTCCTGTCCGAGCTGCGCAGCAATCTGCAAGTGTCGCAAGAAGCCGGCGTACGTTACAACATTCAGTTAATGAATGCTCTGGTGCTCTACGTGGGTACGCAGGCAATAGCATTTATTCGCAGCAAGGGCCACGCTCCCAATATGTCCACCATCGCGCACTCCGCACACATGGACATCTTCCAGAATCTGGCGGTCGATCTCGACACCGAGGGTCGTTACTTGTTCCTGAACGCCATTGCGAACCAGCTGCGGTATCCCAACAGTCACACGCATTATTTCAGCTGTACGCTTCTCTACCTGTTCGCCGAAGCGAACACGGAAGCGATACAAGAGCAGATCACTAGGGTTCTCCTCGAAAGACTGATTGTTAACAGACCACACCCATGGGGTCTTCTCATCACCTTCATCGAATTGATCAAGAATCCGACTTATAAATTCTGGTCGCACGAGTTTGTACATTGCGCGCCGGAGATTGAAAAGTGAGTCATAGTTTCTCTAATTTAAAGATTTTGAATGCTGGAATAGCAACTATTGCACTCGCGAGTAATAATTTCTTCTTTTCTTTCAAATTTGATGTTCATTATTGTTTCAGATTGTTTGAATCCGTAGCGAGATCGTGTATGGTCCAGAAACAGGTGCCTACCACGGAGACGGAGATCCCGGAGTGATAGACCGTTTCACTTTACACGATCATTATGTGTACAGTAAGATGAGAATCAATGATGACCGAGTATTGCGTGTAAAAAGTTGTTGATGAATGCGGATAAATGTATACTATTGAGTTTAATTTCTCGTGATGGATAGATATCGTACGTGAGTGTGTATTGATTCATATAGCGTGTAAGCGAGACAATTATTGCGTTAATATTTTAATAAAAAAAACTTTGACTATATAGAAAAGAGAGAGAAAGAGGAAGGAAAAGCCCCTCGTACACCTCACTAAATGTGTCTTTTGAGCAATGTATTTCACACTGTGTATTATACATATATGATGTTTTGTGAACACAAAACGCAAAGATGTCAGTATATACATAATAAAGCGTATCGTGATAAAATAAGAGTTCACACAAATAACAAATAGTGTTCAGCAAATGCAATTACAATAGACATTTCTCGCGTGCGCGCATGTACGATTAATTATGATTGTGTTTTCGAGTGAATACATGATACATACACAGAGAAATAGCATGTTGCACAATGAGAGATTAATATTTATAGGAGGAATATACATTTTAGAAGGAACAATATTGTTTATATATAAGTGTATACACGATACATTTCAAAACCTGTGACATATAGTCTAAAATACTAGTATATATGTGTGATTTTTTCAAGAATTAGAGTAGATACACAACGAGAGAGAGAGAGAGAGAGAGAGACAGAGAATTGGATAACGGACCCAATTTATTTACACGATCCTTTGTCCCAAAGAATCTCTACTGTGATCTTTAGATCTCTTGATGTAGCGATTTTTACGAGCGATTATTCGCATTATTAAACAATTTTATTAAATCTTTTGCTATATACATCGTTTGTACACATATTTAAAACGTTTATCGTTTTACGGATTACAAAGATTGCTGATCGCGCGTAGCATGATAAGCGTCTCTCTCTTTATCGGGGAACTTGGTCGGTAGATTCGGGCTGTGCAAGTGACACTTGGCGGGATACATGATGCCCGCGACGTTCACCTCGTAATCGCCCGATAACACGTATTCGTTCGTCACTTCTTGCGGCTGACCTTTCGAGTCTAAATTTTGCACGAATCCAAGACATACCTGTCAACATTCGAGGAAAAAAATGTTAATAACTCTCGTAAGTCTTTTGAATTTTTTTATTTTGAAAAAAAAAAGGATGAAAAGAAAACTTGATTTACTTGTTTTTTAAAGGTGAATCCGTAACCCGTGGTCGTTGTCATTCCGCAATATTTTCCGTTTCGATAAATAGGCTCACCGCCCCAGCTCCAAGTATCGAACTCGGGATCGTGATCGTTTAATAATAATTGCACATATTTGCGCTTGACTCCTTGTTCGCGCTGTCTCAGAAGAGCGTGTCTGCCGATAAAGTCGACTCCTTTCTACGAAATACAAAGAATTTATCAAAATAAGAGAGTTTATACAACGCATTCTTTTAAAAAATATCTATTTTTTTAAATAATATCTACATCGAATTTCACCCTCCATGATCTTCCGCATTCCAAAGGAGTGGTGAAGGTATCCAAGTCTTGCCCCCAAAATGCATAAAACTTTTCGACGCGTAAAGCCCTCGTCGCGTAATAACCAGCATGTTTCACCCCATACTTTGCCCCGGCCTCTATAAGCCTTGTATAAACGTGCAGCGCAAACTGAAATTACAAAATGTAGAATTTCGCGTAAACTTGCTTTATAAAAGTCAGAAGGAAAAAAACTGTTTTTCTTTTGACAGAAACATTATAGCTTAAAAGAGAGCAAAACTTGTATTAGTGATTAATTAGAGAGTTGTCTCTTGGATTGTATTACTTCGTTTGGAATATACAAAACGTAGCCAAGTTCTCCGGTATGCGTTAGATTCATCGTACGAATGCCATTGGCAAGTCCAACATCCAATTCCTAATTAAAATGACAAATACAAATTAAATTATTTTTATATTTTTTATTTTGAAGTTTATATTACCTTAAATGTAAAGAACGGAAAGTTTTTTGGATTTAAATCTACGTCTGTCAATTCGGTTAATAGTTTTCTGGTAGCCGGACCCATTATGCAAATTGCGGTGTATGCCGATGTAACATCAGATACGGCAACAGAACCGTCCGCCGGCAAATGCCGATGTATCCAATTTTTGCAACGTGTTTGTTGTATAGTCGGGGCGATCATCATGTAACTAAAATTCAGAGTTTCCAGATATATTCGTATATTCATTTTTCTTATGCACAAGAAAAATCTGCGTTATTGGCGATGTAACGGAAAGCGATCATTAATTTCTAAAATTTCAAAATTTTTCTCGAAAGTAAATCTTTGTATTGTAAAGAAGAAAATTTATTTTACATCTTCGATTTATTTTGTCATATAGAGTCATCACACGATTCTCAATTGTATCATCAATAACAACTAGCTCATACGCGATACGAATTTATTCGTTGCAACTTACTGATTCGGTGCGATTCGCGCTAAACTACAATCATTTTCATAACCGCCCTGATAATTCTGCATACCAGTATGGATAATACTTCCCACGGGTACATCAACGTCGTTCGAACACAAGTACTGCAACAGATCCACGACTTCCATGTCGTTCGACTATAAAATATAAAAATTATAAGATATTATATGAGAATACATTGCAAATTTATCAATTGAAGTACGCAAGTGTCTTTAAATAATTACCCATAAGTCGATCTTCGTGAAGGAGGAATAGTCGCTCAGACCGATCGCTTCTCTGCAAGCGGCGTATTCTTGCGCGACCGCGTCGAACCAAGGAGGCTTACCGAAGGTATTCGTATAAGCTATTTTATATCTTTGAAAACCGTCGGGGAATTCCAGATCTGTTTAATATGCGCAATATGTAGAAACGGAATATTGATTTTTATAAAGTAACGATCATGTATATGAAAATCTCACGATTGAGTATTACCGCAGTCGTCGTCCGACTGGAACCAGGACGGTCTCTCGTAACCCATGACCTGACCGAAAACGGCGCCCGCATCTCTGAGCTTCGGATAGATCGGCGACATTCTCAGGTTCCTTCCGGTTTTGAATTCGAGATACGGATACTGCAGCGCGTAATGCATTCCGGGCACCTCTCGCACTCGATCTCGTAAAAACTTGCGATTGTTGTGCAGTCCGAGGAAACGCGAGACGTCTAATTCGTACATATCTAACGAGGTCGATCCATTGACTATCAATTCCGCCGTAGCACGACCGACTCCACCGGCAGCGGATATTCCGACCTTTGAAGAAAAAAAAAGACCTTCATGGGGAAGCCAATGTGAACGACTCAATGAGCTAATATTTAACTAACTGTTTTCATTCCGGCAGCGATGTAATAATTACGTATTTCCGGAGCCTCTCCTACGATCCATCTGCAATCCGGGGAGAACGCTTCGGGCCCATTGCAGAGTCTCTCCAGGACTGCGTTTCCCAAGCTAGGGATTCGATGTAACATCTGTTCCAACAAAGTGTGAAAGTGATCCCAATCTTCTGGTAAAAATCGCTTGTCTGTGCTTTCTAAAAAAAATAAATAATAAAATTTTTTTAATCAGGTATTCATGATTACATAAAGAATATACTTATTGCTACAAAGTCTAAATAAAGTAAATTTGTAAGTTAATCTTATGACATTAACTTAGACAATAAAATAATTAGCTGTTTCATTGTAATTTTCAATAGCAGAGAATGTAAATTTACATCTAACCGGGAATCACGCCATCCTCAAATGCTGGTTTCGCGACTGGCTCGAAGCCACCGGCTAACAATCGCCCGTTGTTCTCTCGAAAATAGATATATCCATCTAAGTCTCGTATAACCGGTGTCATCGGATCTAAATTAGCAATAGGTTTAGTGTGTAAATAATAATGTTCTACTGAATGAAGAGGTACCTGTGCGTAAAATATAAGTACAATACATTATTTTTTATTAACGAAAATTTTTCTTTACTTTTTTTATATTTAAATTACACAGGTCCTGACCTTCACATATGGCTCGCTTAGTTTACCCACATTCCGTGCCCAAAATCCAGCACAATTTACGAAATGTTGGCATGCTATGGCACCGTGTGTTGTCTCCACTGCTTTTACTTGGCCACTCTGATTAATAACTTTAGTGACTGCACAATTCTCAAATACTGTAACACCTGAATTAATTAATTTAATTTAAAAGGCAATTCATAGTAATACTTGTATGTCTTTGTAAAGATCTCAATGTTTGAATTTTTTACTTCTAGACACAATACCTCTTTGTTTTGCTTCTTGAATCAGTGTCAGACAAATCTGATACGGATCACCAACACCATCTTTCGGAATCCATAATCCTCCAACTAGATCGTCAATGTGCAACAATGGACATAGATCCTGAATTTCTTTCGGGGAAACCAAGTGGCATTCGATATCGCGTGACCTTAATAAAATTAAATATAAAATCGTATTCTCTAGTGTAGTAATTATCATATCTGCTCAAATATTTACACAGATTGTGCCTTCATTCTCCTGAACGAGATCATACGATCTCTCGTTCGTGCCAAAGAAAGACTGCCGCATTGCTTCCAGCCTGTCGAGAGATCTTTCTTCTCCAATTCCTTATATAGGGCAATACTATCTTGAGCAAGTTTTACTTGCGCTAGACTAGGTTTGAAGGCCCCTACTAATCCAGAAGTATGCCATGTTGTTCCACCTCCCAGTCTAAAGACAAATGTATATAAAATAAATATATATATCAGAAAAATAAAAATATACATTGATTTTTTCCTAAATCTTTTTATTCAAAAGAGGTGTAAGATAAGAGGTGTAAAATATATATTTGGAGAGAAAAATGATTCACCTGCCGCTTTCTACTAAGACAGTCTCCGGTCCTAATCCTAAAAGAGATAAATGGTATGCCACAGCACCACCCATAACTCCACCTCCACATATGACAACTCGCGCTTCTTTAGGAAGTACATATTCCGAGTTTTCCGTTGTTACATTGGCGAGTTTCGTGACTACTTCCGCTGTTTTATGATTACGAGATAAGACTCTGCTCTTCTGCGACGCGCATCTATTGCATAACAATTTGGACTGTTTCCACATTTTAATTAATTAAGGTTAAAAAAAATTGCCGTCTCTAATATTATTCTATCATTCTTCTCGAACTACAAGAAAGAAATACGATAAATACGCCCACGCAATTCTTGCGCAGCCAAATACATCTTATTGTATGTTTGATGTTTTTAATCAGTAATCCCAATCACAATATCATAGAGAGGTTATAGCTCGACTAACTGCGACATGTCCACAATCTATACATCTGCATACATCCTCGTTGTCTCTATGTATCTGCATTTGAAATCAGTCAAGTGTCCTGTCATATTTGTGCATTGGAAAGAAAGCGAAGAATCCGAATACAGAACGCAGAAAGTGCAAGCGAACAAACAAATATAACCATAGACATAGTATATCTATATATACTATGTCTATAAATATAACATTCGCGTGGCGCTGATAACACTCAACCAGTGTTGCCAATAATTCAAAGCAGTGATGCACCAGATTGCTTCTTTCAATACGCCAGAAAAGCACTAAATTTTTACAAATTTTTTTTCTATATATATAAACTGTGATATAAACTTAATATTCTTGAAAAATCATCCTTCTTATATTTATAATAAGATACATAAGATATGTTTTAAATTTAAGATTTAATCTTTACATTATGGTTGAAATTCTTTCTTTATCAATCCTAATAATACATATTAATTTTTAATCTCCAAATTTAAAATTTTTGGAAAAATCTTTTTTCAATTGCAAGCAAGAACATATATGCAAGTTGCATTTTATTAACATGTCATCATATGAAATTAAACATTAATAAAATTTTTCACTTTGAATTTTTTATAACAAAAATATAGTTTTGGTCAAATCAACAATTAAGATGGTTATTAATTTTAAAAGAATTATGATATTAAACTATAATAATGATCGATACCTTGCTCTTGGTTTAAAAAATTTGAAAACAAAAAAGGGTCTATAAACGGGTTTTCATAGCATATATTTTAATGAATATAGTAAATCTGTAAAAATCGTATCAGGATACCGATCATGTAACGTTTCCCTAGGGCGGAAACGTGAAAAATGAAAAATATTAGCATTGAAATCAAATGGCAAAATTTTTCACTTTTCACTTTTCCGCCCTAGGGGAAAAGTTACATGATCGATACCCAGAGACTAAAGCCCGTATCAGACTACGCATTGCAAATTGAAGATTGAAGATTAAAGATTGAAATTTAACTAATCAGAACAAAAAGGACTAAAATTTCTTTATTCTGATTGGTCGAATTTCAATCTTGAATCTTGAATCTCAATCTTCAATGCGTAGTCTGATACGGACATAAGGCCGAATTCACACTTTGGCAGAAAAGCAGAGGCCAATCAGAACTCGCGCTAGAAAAGCAGAATGTACTACTATCAGCGCAAGTTCTGATTGGCTTCTGCTTTTCTAGCACGAATTCTGATTGGCTTCTGCTTTTCTGCCAAGGTGTGAATTCTCCCTAAGGCCGGATTCACTCCTTGGCAGAAAAGCAGAAAGCAGAAAAGCAGAAGCCAATCAGAACTCGTGCTAGAAAAGCAGAAGCCAATCAGAACTTGCGCTGATAGTAGTACATTCTGCTTTTCTAGCGCGAGTTCTGATTGGCCTCTGCTTTTCTGCCCAAGTGTGAGTTCGGCCATATGTCCGTATCAG